CAATGATACATATTTTTTAAGTAAATTAAGCCTAAATTTTTAGAACCAACTAAAGTCCACAAACCCCTCTACTTTATGACCATTTCGTGAAAACGTGTAAATAATTTAAAGTGAAACTAAGAATCACGTTTTTTAAAATGAATATAACGTATACACGCCTCTTATAGATGATTGTTTTATCAACACATCTTGGAAAGAAAACCAGTCTGTTTCCCATTGTGTTTGTGTGTTTCTATATACGCACATGAACAAACACACTTAGTAATTAAAAGTAATACACGGTGTTTAATTAAAGAAAATACTACAACAAGTGAGTTGGTGATCACTTTATGAACTATTTAGTAATACCGGATGTTATATTTAAAACATACGCCTGTCATCAACGAAGGCTTAGCAGTGAATTCGTGTTAATTCTTCCACGTTGTCATAAAGTGATTTAAAACTCGGCCGGTTCCAGTCCTTCGGTGAATATTAACGTACTCTTGAAAGGTAACGATTTGTTTAATGAATTTGAATATGTTGTTGATAGGAAAGGATCTATCACTGTGCTCTAAGGTATTGTTGACTGGAAAATATTTATCTCTCTGCTCTAAGGTATTGTTGACTGGAAAAGATTTATCTCTGTGCTCTAAGGTGTTGTTGACTGGAAAAGATTTATCTCTGTGCTCTAAGGTATTGTTGACTGGAAAAGATTTATCACTGTGCTCTAAGGTATTGTTGACTGGAAAAGATTTATCTCTGTGCTCTAAGGTATTGTTGACTGGAAAAGATTTATCTCTGTGCTCTAAGGTGTTGTTGATTGGAGGGGATTTATAACTGAGCTTTGAGATATTGTTGATTGGAAAGGATTTATTCCCTGAACTCTAAGGTGTTGTTGGTTGGAATGGATTTAACACTGAACTCTAAGGTGTTGTTGAGTGAAATGGATTTATCACTGAACTCTAAGGTGTTGTTGAGTGAAATGGATTTATTCCCTGAACTCTAAGGTGTTGTTGATTGAAATGGATTTATTCCCTGAACTCTAAGGTGTTGTTGATTGAAATGAATTTATCACTAAACTCTAAGGTGTTGTTGAGTGAAATGGATTTATTCCCTGAACTCTAAGGTGTTGTTGATTGAAATGGATTTATTCCCTGAACTCTAAGGTGTTGTTGAGTGAAATGGATTTATTCTCTAAACTCTAAGGTGTTGTTGATTGGAATGGATTTATTCCCTGAACTCTAAGGTGTTGTTGATTGGAATGGACAAAGTGCACGATGTAAACTTAGTTTCAGTCAGGAAAGTATTACTTAAATCTCGAGTCGACAATTACAAAATGTAGGGTGTAAACTTGATTTCAGTCAGGAATCCATGACCCCTGTTCTTGTATTTTGTTGAAGAACAACAACATTATTTCACCATGCGTGGTCGAAAAATTTTAAATACTCTGTTATAATAATGATAATCAGTTTTTATCCGTCCCGAAAATGTGCGCGCGCGCGCGATACCATATAAGTGCGCTTGCGCGCGCATTTCATTTCAACAAAAGTGAACGTAAATATACTTTAGTAAACATTTTGTACAACATATTAAAAGCTTATCAGAGTTTTTAAAAGGTCTAACATTATTTCGTAGAATAATATTAAGTTTATTTATTGATAGTACGGTAAAGTTTAGGCCTAATTAAACTACAGTAAAAAAAAGTTGTACAGTGTTAATCTATCTCTTTGTCGAATTAATGCTTAACTCAGGAGGTTAGGGCGCTCTACTCACGATCTGCGGGTCGCAGGTTCGAATCCCCGTCACACCAAACATGCTCGCCCTTTCAGCCGTGGGGGCGTTATAACGTGACGGTCAATCCCACTATTCGTTGGTAAAAGAGTAGCCCAAGAGTTGGCGGTGGGTGGAGATGACTAGCTGCCTTCCCTCTAGTCTTACACTGCTAAATTAGGGACGGCTAGTGCAGATAGCCCTCGTGTAGCTTTGCGCGAAATTCATAACAATGCTTAACTAACGTTAGGCCTAAGACAGCTGGACTTGTAGGAATTGATCTCTGCGATTAGAATATTTTGTATTATTCTATAAATTCTGTAACTGTTTTGCAGGTTTCTGCTAATATGCAATGTTACTGGCGCATCAACACTGGTTGTGTGTATCTCTCTCAGGAAACAATGATTTGTGTCTCGTGTGTCACTGGTTGTGTGTCTCTCTCTCAGGAAACAATGATTTGTGTCTCGTGTGTCACTGTTTTCGTACAGATCCACATTATCTGACAGAAAGTAAAGTTGTCACGATGATTCAATATTATTTGTTCTATAAAAGATTGTTAAAATTTCATTTTTCCATCTAGACCTGGAAGTTAATCCACCCCGAAGATTGCCGTCACTACAAGGAAAAAAGGACGCAAGTGTGCAGGTAGAGATAAGTTTTCTCTTTGCTTTTTACTTTTTTGCCAGTTTTTGTTAGTTCTTGTGATATTCATATTTTCATATCCACTGTTAACTGCACCACACTAACATAAGTAATATACTTACTTGTACCACTCCACTCGCTATAAATGACTCATCTATCTTGAAACAACTCTACAATCTTCACAACTATCTGATATTTATAATCGAATGTACTATAAAAATCTGACACTAAATCCCCTAAACCTTACCTCAACATGATCCCCACAGCTCCCTCTGGCTAAAAACGAATTCCAACATTAAGATTAATGTAGTTTATAACAATATTATGAGTGTGTTAATGATAATCTTTATTTTGTTTCTGTTTTGTTGTTTCCTAGGGGATAACGCTTTGCATTTCTGTTTGTTGTTGTTTTTTTAATGTTTTTTGTTTTGTGCACATGGGGCGATCAAAATCGACATTTGAGGTATTTACTGTTAGATTTTTTCTATACAACATAAACTGTAATGTATGAAAAAGTAGACGTGAAAAGAGACAAGTTTCACGACGTTTCACGATTTTCAACATTATTAAGCGTATTTCTCAACATATGTAAGATGCTATCTTATTATAATGGAGCTTGCGATGTATACGTCCAAAACTCGGATCTCCGAAATAACAGCACCGATCATAATTAGGTAATATAACTAGGCAGTATTTTGTATAGCTGAGCAATAAATAAAACAATTGAAATTCTCACAAAAATGGAGTAAGTTTCAATTATAAAACAATCAAAACACAAACTTTAAAAGAATTATTTGTTTTTCTTTAGTGAAAATCTCGTGAGTGTTGCAACAGAAAACCAAGGCATTTTCATTGATAATACAAAGAAATACTTCAATAAAATCTACTCTGTGATGTAATGCTGTGATGATAGCTCATTTTTAAACTAAAATTTCAATAAAATCCTTTTTCTCATGGATGGTGAACATTATTGAACGGACATTATTGAATGTCAAGTATGAGTACATTGTTGTAGAACTGTCAGACAATTCCAGAAAAGGCTGCAGGCCCAATAGCCTTCCGCAGGAACCAGCAGTTATACCTGCCAGGAGGGCGGGTATTTCTGCTAGTGATCACTAATCCACCTCAAGAAAATAATTAATTTTTTTAAGCCAGATACTTCAGTATACATTTTTCTCAAAGGCTGATGACAAAGTCATAGACTAAAAAGGTTGCCTAATGTTTAAATGATATAGATAAAATCATTCAAACTTAATTGTTTATTATTGTATTATGTGGCTGGTTGCCTTGTACAACCATTCGTTTTAATTACTGTCATTTTAACCCCACAGTGCACATAGTGATGTAGCCTGTGATGCTAGTGGACCCTTGAAAAAAAAATCACATAGCAAAACATCAGGTTTAAGTAGATTTTTTTTTTTTCAAAATGGTATTAGTCATCATTTCCTGTCTTAATTGAAAATATATTCATTAAACTTATTTAAATGAGAAACGTTATACAATCACATTAATTAAACTTAGATACATAATACAGAGGTTTTAGTATATTTAGCTACATATCTCCTAAATTCAGTGGGAGAATAACACATTCAAAACTAATCTCCAGATTTTTCCGTGTCATAGAAAATAATTACCTTATATTTTGCATGTAACTGTTGTGTTGCATCATACGCCACATTTATTATTTATTTTTATTACATCAAAAAACTTTCCTTTTTATAGATAACAGTGCATATTAAATTTATCATTTTAAAAAGTTTAATTTGATGACTGGTTTTAGACTTTCAAAACACTTTCCAGCAGAAGTTGGGGATAATCAGAAATATGACTAGGCACAACTATTGTTTATTAAATAGTCCCTGCAAGACAAAGTAATATTTATGCAAAATAAGTTTCACTCGTGTGATCTGGTATGCAAAATATCTAATAATGGAGTCTATGTCTACAAATGCTCATTTGGTACTATAATTTTACACCCTATTAAACAGTAGAAAATATATGTTAATAAGACATAATAATGCATGTTATACACTGATGTGGCATGTTTAAAATGAGCAAATCAATGAGTTGCTGAGCAATGGCCCACTCATCCAACAGAGCTGCTTCCATTTCATGAGTACTGCTTGGAGGTGAATTACATACAACCAAATAACTTTCCACAAGATCCATAAATGTTCATATCCTTTTCTTCCAAGAAGCTGCTAATCAGATGAGCATGGTGGAGATGCACCTCGTTATCCATTAAAAGAAACTTATGATCAACTGCAACTGTACATGGTAACACTAACAGTTATAATACTGTATCCTGAGATGTCGTAGCACATAAAGGTCAGCAATACCAATCCCTGTCCATACCATTATGCCAATATTACCATATGTATATCTTTTTTTCCCCATGGAATTAAGGTTATATCTGGTCCTGAAAACTTTTCAAATGCATAAGTCTTATATCTGGCTGCAGTGTGAAGTATAATTAAAACATGAACAAAACATTCACTCAGCCACATTGAAGTATAATTAAACCGTGAACGAAACATTCAATCACCCACATTGAAGTATAATTAAACCATGAACAAAACATTCACCCACCCACATTGAAGTATAATTAAACCGTGAACAAAACATTCACTCACCCACGTTGAAAGTATAATTAAACCAGTGAACAAAACATTCACCCACCCACGTTGAAGTATGATTAAATCATGAACAAAATATTCACTCATCCACATTGAAGTATAATTAAACCATGAACTAAACATCCACTCACCCACACTGTACAATGAATCCACGTTTTTGTTAACACTAAAGATGGCTTGTTTTATAGTGATTCTTTACAAAAATGCACACTACTGATTGTATGGCATAAAGTCCAACCTTGCAATGCCTGTTTCTGTCAATGTGAATGTTGACTTGTCATTCATTTGCCGCTCCAAAATGCTGACTCAGTCACAAAGTTGAAGCCTGTAAGAAAGTAGTTATCTTGCAGGGTTTTTCAGTAATGGTCGATCATTTCCCACACTCCAGCCAACCGTATAGATGGTCTGAAGGTATGTTCACATAATGCTAGCAACCCACTCTCCAATGATTTGTTGAGTTGAGTTTCTAGCCAACCTATTGCTCTCTGTCATAGAACTGTACAAGTGTCTTCATTAGAGTCCCCACTTATTTCTTTATCAACATAAATCTTTTCACACATTCTCCTATTGTTCAAGCTGCTAATTGAAAATATGTTACTTTTCCTTAATTTTTTAAACCACTGAAATGTGCCTATCAGATCACACTGCCAGCCTCCTGCATGAAAATGAACTGAAGTGTGCCATTGAAATTACTTAATAACAGTAGTGATGCCATGTCATAGCTAGACCACAGAAAACTAACTATCCATTAACTGATGTGGGCAGTGTAATACAGACATGTATGTTCAACCTTTTTAGATGAAACAAGTTACAGTAATATGCTTATACTATTCACCAAATGAGAAAACACAAATTAAACATACAAAATATGTCTCAAAAAGAACTCTATTTCATTAAAATCTTAAGATAACAAGGGAGAAATTACCTATCTTAGACCCTTGACAAACTTCTCTCTCTGTAGTAGTTGATTTCAAATTAATTGTTTAAAACAAATACATCTCTCATTAGTACAGGAATCTACAAACCTCTCCACAATACTCAGAGATGAATTCATTCTTCTGGGCTGTGTCCTTTAAGAAAATTCCCCAACCAGCTACATCAGATGGAGCCAATAAAAGATGCTAAAAATGTTCAGACACACCATTTAAATATTTACATTTTTTAGCTATTCATTCATACATCAAATAACAATAAATGTTCAAAGATACATGAATCAATATAAAAAACAAAAAAAACTGAGTTGTAGGTCTTAAATCTTTTATGAATTAGTGAAAAGTAAACATCTTTATATATCATCAATTACTTTTAATTATTATTGTTGTGTTTAGCTTCTAGCCAACCTATTAATCTGTGTGTCGTAGCTTATTTCTTTATCAATATGGATCTTTTCACACATTTTGCTATTGTTCAAGCTGCTTTTAATTATTGAGAGCTTCAAATTACATTTGATGTGAGTAAATGGTACCATTATAGAATAACTGTTAAATTCACAATGCTTTACTTCCAAATGTAAACTTACTTTTCGTAGTCCTCTTTGTACACTCACATTCTTACAAGATATGTTTTTCACATCATACTGATCTGGAATGAAAGGGGCAACAAATGTACCCTAAGGATTTAAAATCACCCTCTTAAAATTACTAATAATCTCTAATTATTATTTGTATTAAATCACTTAACAATATATTTAAAAGTTCTCAAAATGCAAACATTTACAAAGTACATATTGCTATACTTAACTATTATATTTCATTTCACGTAATTCTTTTAATGGTGCTTTTTTTAAAGAATTAGTATAGTTTTCTTAAAGATTGCAAACTAAAATTACTGAAACTTTGTATAAACTTTCTAAATAATATCAGGTATCTGCATAAAAAAATAAAATATAAATTGATCTAACATTTGTGTTTATTTTTTTTGCTCAAGAAATTTAAGAATGTTTGATAAAATTGGAACATTTTCTAAAAGTAAAAAATACTTCCTCTAAATGCATTCAGTAAAACTTTTTATTCTTATACATCATGTAGTGTTTTTACCTCCACACATGATCACTGAAATACACGATACAAAATCTGATAAAAATATGAAAGATTTGGTAAAACTGTTTTTTAAACATAATTAATCAGAAAGTTACGTTTTTATATAGTCAGTCAATATCAACTCGTCTTATATGCTTTATAATGCTCATAGCAATAAAAGTTGTAAAAGTAACTTTAGGAATGGTAAACTTCAGAATTAGGAACCAAATTAGCAATTATGTGAGGGTCAGAAAAGAAAAACATTATAAAAAAATCTTAGAAATAATATATCTTATTTGAAAAAAAAATCCACACACAAAAGCTGGGGAAAGCAAAAGGTGAATATTTTTTATCTATTACAATATTAACCAAGTGAACTAGATGCAAATGATGGAGAATTATAAATTATAATCTCAAAGCAATAAGTAATTTTCTGAAATCATCCTTCAGTTTTAACTCTGGATGAGGTATGGCCAACAGAAAATTTAATGAAGAAATCGGTATTTAAAGAGTTAGACCTTATAAAAAAAAGATCATTTGGGAACATTTTGTTAAATTGTGAACTTTAGGCTTCACTATGACCCCTGTGCATTAACATATTTCTCTTTGGAGTGAATTTTCCTCCATTAAAACAGTTACATTTCATGCCAACAATACATAAGTCCTGTATGATTAATAAATACCTATGATCAATTGCTATTGAGAAATACCTTTTTAATTCTTAATATCCTTACATGAATTCTTGTTATATGAAAATATTTCTGTAGCTTCCAATAGATATAACACAAATCCAGTATTACCAACATGAAAAATGTCACCAGAAGCTACACAAAAATCTCAAGTATCTAAACAAGAGTGGCATTACTGTCTATTTAACTCTTTCCATATGGGGTTGATGGATTATACCAACCTTTTAACCACAAAGTAACCATCAGAGTTTCCAAACTATAACTTTAAATATGGTAAGTATATCTTCACAGAGTTTGGCAAGCTATCAGTAAACATTACAACTCCTTTTTATTCACAGAAAATCAGATTATATTTTTTATCATTATCCATAAATGTATGAAGTCAGTGTTTAGTGCTACAAGTGCAAAGTGATTTTCACGTTAAGATTAAAAATACTTTTTTTTCATCTGGAAATTTTAAAATTTCATTTGTTTTACCTCTAAAACCTCCTAAATAAATATTAAACGTTTTTTGTTTGTTTTTTTCACTTAAAACTTAATATTTTATTTACTGTTGTATCTAAGTTAGCCATTTTTTCCTTCTAGAGTGACTGCAAATTGTAACAGCAAACTACATTTCTTTACCTTAAATAGCTAAAGTCTCATAACAGTATACATCTGTTTCCACTTAATCTTATTGCCCTTTGAACTGTGTTTAACTAATAATCTTGCCACACAAGTTGTAAATCACTTGGCAAATGTATAGCTCACATTACAGTATTAAATAAAATAATGCACAAGCTACTCCAGAGCTACCTCAAATAATTTGTATTATTTTTCATTATTGTGCCTAATCTAACCAAATAAATTTCTAATATTTAAATCTGAGTCACTTTTATAACAATCAATAAATAATATACATGAAAAACAAGAAATAAAGTACTTACCATTGTCCTCTCTCTCTCTTTTTTTTTGTTGCTGATGAAATTTAAGCCTACTTTTTTTCTATTACAAAGGAAGAACGTAGAATAATAACATGCACAAAGCAAACAATGTCCTATAACTATTATAATTTAACTAGCTTAAGAGCCTTAAAATAATTAGTGAAGCTTCTCAATCTAACACTGAGAGAAAACTTTCAAACTGAAGATGAAGTATACAATACTCTGGATTAAAAGCAATTGGTTATAAATGATACAGTATAAAATGTAAGTGACAACTACTGGCAATTTGTGAAAGAGAGGATGTAATAGGTAGGTGTGGCAAGTGGGTTTGTTTTAATAGTTTATGACTATGTAAATAAGTAAGATTGAAGGCTATAAAAATTAGAGTAAGTTACATTAAATTTATTTAGGAAAGGGGTGATAAATAAATTAGAGATGAGAGAAGACTAGAGAATAAATGTTATGATTCTCATACCAGAAGAGATTGAGATTTTTTAAAATATTTCCTTATAAAATTAAGAACTTAAAACTTGTATAATATTAAAATTTGATTGATTAACTGTTCTTACAGACACTACCATTAGTGGAAAAAAGGTCAACATCTGTTGATCTCTAACTGAATTTTTTCATACACATATGCAAATTCAGAGTAAGACAAGACTGAGAAATCTGAATTAGATTTTAAAACTAATATTTCATGATTTAGCTTAATCAATTTTAGAAGGGCAAAAACAAACAACAGCAGTAGCTATATGAATACCCAATAAAGTGAGCAAGAGTTTGTTATTAAGCACAAAGCTGTGCCCACCACATGTATTGAATCAGTTTTTAGTGTTATAGACCTTCAGACTTAATACCAAGCTACTGGGGGGAGTGGAGCAATGACAGACCCTGTCTTAAAACGAAACTAAAAAAGATGATCTCACTAACCAATCTATCCATGTTAATAATAGTTTCTTTTTTTGTAACTTAAAGTGTATTTATTTTTATTTACCTGAACCACAAGTTTGACATAGATCGGGGTCACACTCACGAACTGCAGCATAACAAGGACACTGTTTAGTGTTACACTGTGCTTTACAGCGACATCCCGGGAACCGCTGCTGACCTGACATACAAATCAAACACAAACTTATGAGATATACATTTATGATAAACACTTTCTGGTGGAGAGAGTAAAGTATTTTTCTTTATTTAATCTAGAAGGATAGCTGAAAAACAACTTGGGGCCCAAATATGAAGAATCATGAAGAGAGTGTTATGATATAATTAATGCCTCATTCTATAAATCTAAATGTAAGTAAAATAATTTGCACTCTGAGCTTCACTGCTATTATATTAACCCATTAATTGTGGATGACGGATATTTCCGTCATTGAAGTTCTATGGCTCAGCTGCGAATGACAGAAATATCCGTCAGTCGTACATATATAACTATAACTCTATATATATAATTACAGTTTTATTGTGATTGATGGCAACTCAGTTTTATCTGTGAGTCAGAAAACGGCAACTGAGCTGCTCCTGCTGCAGTTAATGGGTTAATAGATCAAGATTATTTGTATTTGAAATAGAATAACAATTCAATTTTGTATACCAATAATGAATTGTTGTTGTTTCTGGATTTTTAAGCCCAATCTAGCCATTTGATTTATTTATAATTTTTTTCTTGCCTATTTATAAGTGCTGTAAGTTAGCAGTTTTCTTTAAGTTTTATTCCTGTATATATGTAATTTATAACTACTAGCTATTTTGCAGTCAACAGAATTTCTATAGAAATCTATAACACCATTTCTCCTTGAGCTTTAGTCATGGTTGATTCAACTTTCTTTGCATTGAGAAATTTTTTAGTCAACCACTGGTTGTCTCTCCTGTTAATCAAAGAACACACTTGAAAATGCAAGAGTTGATGACACAAGAATATATTGAAGAGTATTTTTACATAAATATATACATGACAACGTTCTTATTCCTCTTTGAAAAATTGCACTGAGAATGTTATGCAACAGAAAATAAACATTAATAAAAACACATCTTCCTTACAGTCAATTTTTCAAAAAGTACTTAATTTTATTATTACTAGACAATTTCATCAGTCTCTCCATACTTCAATGATACACCATAATACAAAAATCTTGCTTTTAACAAGGAAACATTAGTTGTCTCTATTGTTTGTTGATTTTTTGCACAAAGCTACTCAAGAGTTATTTGTGCTAACCATCTCTAATTTTGAAGTGATACACTATCTGTCTTCCCTCTAGAAGACAGCTAATTAACACCATCCACTGCCAACTCTTGGGCTACTCTTTACCATTGAATAGTGGATTGACCATCACAGTATAATGCCCACAAGGTTGAAAGCGTGAGGATGTTTGGAGAAAGATTACAATCTTATGATCAAGAAATTGCATGTCATGTGTCCTGAACATCTTAATGAAAGTATGGGTTCACTGGATGGCTTAAAACTATTACTGAAAAACTTGATGATATATTCATATTTGAATGTTCCTGTTGGCCGTATAAACATTTATGTTTCTAGTAACATTCAAATAATTATCTATCACCAGCTGAAATGTTATTATATTAAATGTTTAAAACCAAAATAAAATGCAAATTTCCTTTCTAAGCAAGCTTAATGTGATGCCAGAAACATGACTGATAAACTATCTTTTACAGCAATTACAAGTAAAATGTTCTATTTACAAGCTCCAGCCTCATATTTACATAACAGTAGAATTACTTGGTAATAAATTAGTTATCTCATAATGCTTGAAAATGGCAGATATTAAATCCTAAAAGGTAGTTTTATTTTTCATTACTGGTGCAGCCTCATTTGCAAACATATTAATATCTGATCATCAAACTAGCTATTGAGAGGGGCAATTAGTATAATCAAAAGCCAAGAAAAATCACAGATAGTAAATCTAGTGCTTGCCATAAGGAAATATGGTAATTATAGCTTAAGAAATGGGTGTACAGTAAATGTTAAACTCTCCACAGTATCTAATCTTAAGAACTTTTTTTTATGTACTAAATACACACTTAAATTTTACTCAGGTCATATGCCATAATAGCTTTGTAAATAAACATTAACTCACTCTTCAAATATTACCTTAGGTAAGAAATTAATTATCTGTAGGTAGTTTCTACAATTAGCTGTAAGCGACCAATTCAGAATAGTGAGTGGTTTTCATGAAAGAATATTCTCAGTAACAAGTTATCTGAAAAAATTTGAAGTCCTAGTAAGGCTACAGAGATGTTTTCTAGAATGCTCTAAGTAATTATTATTGTGATTGGGAAAAACAGTAGCACTGTTTAGCTACTTCTGTTTTAAAATGGATAAAATAAAAATGTATGATGGCAAACAGGCACAAAATTACTTTAAAAATATTATTTTTTAACATATTAAGTAACGTAATTATTATTTCCAGAGTTTTAGTGGCTAATAAAGTACAGCACCAGTATTGCTCTGTAGACTTAATGAATATAAAAATTATCTAACATATTCAAAGTAACGTTACCTTCAACCTTGCCACATTTGGGTCTAATTCAACCATGCATGCATTTTATTACCATTTATATATGGATTACATATATAGCTATCCAAACTATAAGGTCAAAAATGCAAAACACTATCATATGTGGCATCCAAAAAATGACAAATATTTTTCAAATATGTACTTTTGAGATGTGTTAGCATTAAAGAATTATAATCTAATGAAACGTTTTTCAGTTGTTAAAAACAACTTACAATCTGATTTGCAATGACAAAATTTTTCACAAAAATTCTGTGCAATAACACAGGGACATGATTGGTCACATGGTTGTCCTGGATGATCACATGGAGTGTAGTTGTAGACATGATTGGACGAGGAGTCTTTCTTCAACTGTGTCTTCCTACAATGCATGTACCACTGACGATGCTTTTTTTTCTTCTTCCTGGGTGGGGTGTTATCATGAACATTTTCTTCTAGGGGATAATCTGCTAGTTCTTTCTGAGCAAATGTGTAGACCTGTGAAATGTACAAATATCATAACATTATTCTAGTTTTTGGACGAACTGTGTAGAAATGAGAAGACTAAAATGTATTTATCATCATGAAGTAACAACATTTTGCTGAGAACATATGTCTATAACTATGTACTTAATTAAAGCAAAATAATCAAATACTATGCATTTATAACTGATCTCTGCAATATTATGTCATAGAAATATTTTTATATAATAACATACAACTTTTTAAGAAAATAGTATTTTTTTTGTCAGAAACATTTCATACCACCAAGTTATGTAACAACTTGGATAACAAAACTAAAAAATGATACACAGTATTTACTACACTAATCTAATCATGATTCAGGTGGAAAAATACACCACAAGAAAGAGATCTGCTATTGTTTTTAAATCATGAGATACAAATGAATTATTGGTTAAAAACAGTTTCGTGTTTAATATTTCTTAACAGAGTGTGAAGAAAAATACACAGTCAGTTTGATGTAGAATTTCTTTTAGTATACAAATATTCCATTGCAGAAAACCAACTAAATTGGTTTTTCTCATCTTTAGATATAGTGAATAAATTATCTAAACAAGTGTTTTTCTTAGTTGATGTTACCTGCAGTTAAAAAATCACATTTCATATTTTATAGCTTTACTTAATATGATTAAGTTGATGGGTTTAGTGTGCGATCAAAAAATGTTCATCCTCTTTTTGCTAATTTGTCCTTAAGTTATTACAAACAACAATGGCTAGAAAAATCTCCTACTGATTTTAAGCCACTTTTTAGGTAATATCATGACAATGTCTTCAGCATTTTTCAATCACAAAACTCCATTAATATATTTTTGCAGTATTTAAACAGTAAACATCCAAATACAAAATTCACAGTTGAGCATGAACATAAAATCAGGTTAGCTTTCTTAGGTACTTTTATTGTACACAATCAACACTGTATGTGAACACATAGTGTTTCAAACTATAACTCTCTTACTTTTTCAGAAAGAGGGTGACATTTCCACTATACATACCTATCAATTTC